GCCCGCGCCCGTCCCCAGCGGCGGCCGGTGCGCGGCAGCGGCGGCGGCCGCTCCTCGTCGTCGTCGTCGTCGCCCGGGAGGCGGCCGCCCCCATCTCCCCGCGCGCCGCAGGGTCTGTCAGTGCAGGCCGCCCCCCGACGGAGCCGCCCCGGCCATGCCGCCTCCTGCGCTTGCGCCCAGGCCGGCCGTTACCCGCTGCGAGGCTGGGCGCGGCGCCCGGACGGGCCTGGCACGGCGGAGGGATCCAGCCGGACCCGCGGACGGATCGCGGCCCGGGCCGTCGGAGCTGAGCAGAGCGCGCTCGCGAGCACGGGCGGCCGTAGCCAGCAGAGTGGGCGGGGTGGCCGCCTCTCGCGACAGCCCGGGCTGGCCGGGCCCGCCCCCCCACGCCGATTGGCCAGGCCGCCTGTCCTGCGCGCCGGCTCGTTTCAGTAGCTCCGCAGGATTGGTCGAAGTTTAGGCCCCGCCCCTGAGAGGGGGCTGTCGATCACGCCGGGTCCGCCTGCACCCGCCCCCTGCCGACCGGCGCCAGCGGATTGGTCGGTGGGAATCGGCGTGGTAGAAAACACGGGATGGATTTTTGGGCGCTTTTGTTCCCTCAGATTAGCCTGGAGCCTTGTTTTTTGGGCAAAGCCGGGCGTTGGGCCTCAGTGCTTTATTCACGAACGTGACGCCAAGGAGGCGACGATGGACCCAGAAAAACTACTGGCGCCGTACGTCCCTCTGATCTGCCCGAGCCGAGCTGTGTGACCTTGGGCGAGTCGCGATTTCTCTCCGAGCTCCTTGCGCCTCCCGGGGAAGATGCGGGTAATAATACCCTCCCGGGAGGCTGCCGAGAAGGCAGTGAGCTCACAGTGGGCGAGCACCTGCGTTTTTAGGCGGCGGGTCCGCCTAGGGCGAGGATGATGGGAGGAGCAAGCCTTCTCCCCGAGATCTGCTAGCCAAGTCTGTCAGCTCGCCCTGTCAGCGGGCACCTCGGGCCCTGGAACCGAGAAAATGCAAACCCGCGGGCAGAGGCAGACTCAAGGACTGCCTCCACCCTGGCTTTTGGTTGGCACCGAAAAGCAGCTGGGGGAGGGGCACTGCTTCCAGTGCTTCGGATGCAGGGCATCTGCTTTGGGCAGAGAGAGAGAAACTGAGGCCCAGGACAAGACGCCCCAAACCCATTCCTAGATGGCGTCCTCTGACGTCCTGGGGGTATAGGCCGACTGTCCCTGGACATCGAGTGGCGAGACCTGGGCTAAGCTGAGCTTCGATGCTGAGCCTGTAGCCGGTAAATAGAGCCTTCCAGTCTGGTCCAGAGTGCTGAAAACTCTCGGCAGAATATTCCTGGCCTTGGATCTCCCACCTTGAGCCGCTGTTCCCGTCTCTACCCACCTTCTTGGACACATTCCTCTAGCTACCCCAGTGTACCTAGGAGGCTTAGGGGGAGTCCACTACGCATCTCCAACCCCTTTACCCAGGGCAGACTACTGAATATAATTCATAATTCATAATTCTCTGCAGTTTGGTGGGGGGAAGACATCCATCCCTAAATTTAAGAGCCAGGAAACAAGGAAGCCCGACCTAGAACACAGCACACCCCTACTTCCCGCGGGAGTGCCCCAGAACCCACGGACACCTGGGTACCTTGCCCAGACTCTGGCTGGCTGTGTAACCTGAGCCATCGACTCAACTCTTCTGAGCCTCAGGGTCCTCACCTGTACAAGCAGCCTAGAGCCAGGCCTGGCAGATGATCCTGGGGGTCGTGGGTGCTGCCCAAGGCTCGTTCTAACTGGAAAGCAGGGGCTGGAACCATAGAAGGCCCCGGGCCCAGCTCCTCCTCCTCCTCCTCCTCCTCCTCCTTCTCCTCCTCCTCTAGCTCTTGTTGTGTGTGTTATTTAAGGCTGCGATGGATTAAATAACAGCCCCTAAATGTTCACGTCCGCACGGACCCTCTAAATGTGGCCTTGTTTAGAAACAGGGTCTCTACAGATTCAACGAAGGTCAGAATCAAGACGCATTGTGCCGGGTTAAGAACAGGCCCCAAACTCAATGAGAATGCCCTATTGGAAAAGCTGTGTCTTCCTAGGAGTCAAGGGCAGAAAGGTCATGTAAAGACAGACCTTACAGTCAGGGATGGCAAGAGCTGAGGAGGCTGGCCCGATCCTCCCCAGGCCCTGGGGACACTGGCCACCACAAACCACATCTAGATGAAGGTCTCCAGGGAAGAGGATATAGCTTATGATGATGTCGGTTCTGAGGGCAAGCGCAGGAAACGGAGAAGGTTATGTCCCCTCTTTGCTTCATCTGTAGCACCAGACCTCATTTGGGGTTTGGGGCCATGGAGATGAGAGACCCCTAAGTCCACATGCCCAGGCTTTAGAGGTCTCTCGTCCCTACCCTGTCTTCCCAGCTTCAGCTCAGTCCTGAGCACGCTCTGCTGGTGCCACCGTTGCCGGGCCTACTTGAGCTCCAGGCCTCATATTGATTTGCAAAGTTCCGGGTGTCTGTGGCAGGTCTAGGTCTCCCAGTGCTCAGGGCTCCCTCCTTGGCACAGCCTTGGCTGTGGGTTCCTGAGCCTTCCACTCCATGTTTGCATAGCTCCGAGGGACCGCAGGCTGCATGCCAGTTCCAATCTTCATGGTCTCCTCACCTGGCCTGTCTACTCCTTCCAAAGTACTCGAGCATAAGATATTAGGAAGGACTGAGGGACCCCTACGGATCGCTGGGAACTGACCTTGGGGCTCAGGCTGAACCAGAAGGGCTGCCGAGTGTCTGAGGGAGCAGCTCAGGAGAAGGGCTGCCGTAAATAGAAGTCCCTCCAAGTCCCCAGAGCAGGCCTTCCCAGTCATGTGAAGTGCCTGTGTTGTTTCTGTGTCCGTAATCGCCCTCCTCCCCAAGGGCCCTTTCCCCAGTGCCAGGGTCCAGCATTTTCTCTGCCTCCACATCCAGCCAGGGAGAAGGATTAGAATGGGGGCCCAGCAGCCATGAACTCATGAAGACAAACCAAGACATGGTTCTGATCAGGACAGAGAACCCGGATGTGAACTGGGTATTGAGTAGAGGGAGTGATCTCCGGCAGCCCAAGCCTGCTCTCCCAAGATTTAAACCCCCAGGTGGGGCCTAAACCTCAAGCAGACCCCAACTTGCTGGTTCCGTTCTTTTTTCTCCTCCTTCCTCCTCCTTCTTCCTTTTTCTCCTCCTCCTCCTCCTTCTCTTCCTCTTCTTCTTCTTTCTTCTTCTTTTCTTTTAATTGTATGTGTGTGAATGCTTTGTCTGCCCCTCTGTGTGTTCACATGTATTCCTGGTGCCTGCAGAGCACAAAGAGTGTACTGGATCACCGGGAACTGGAGTTACCACAGATGGTTTGTCAGCTGCATGTGAGTGTTGGGAATGGAACCCGGGCCCTCTGCAATGGCAACAAACACTCTTAACTTCTGAGCCATCTCTGCAGCTGCCACTAATGGGATTCTTACCTCAGGCCCAGGTTCCTAGCACCACCACCTCAGCAACAGGTCCTAATGCTGTTATCCAAATCACAGTCCCTAGCTGTGGACCGGTTCAGACAGCAGCCTGGCAGAGCAGCTCATCCGTCTGGGAAATGGGATCTCGCATGTCAATCGCCTACCAAGGACACCCTGCCCAGGGCAGAACTGTAGGCAGCACAGTTGTTGACTCGATGTTTCGCCAGCCCCAGGTGACGAGGCTGTCTATTCTACCCTAGCTTCCACACGAGACAGATTACTTGGGACTGAGGCCACCTGTGGCCATAAGCAGGTATCTGCCCCCAGAACTGCTGTACCTCACATCTGCACAACCAAGGTTTGTCTACAGCAGAACTGTTCTCCCAGGGGTCGGATGCGGGGTCCAGATGTTCTGTTTTCCCATTGGAAACAGAAAAAAAAAACCCACCTGGGCTCTTATTTAGAATGGAGAATCCTGCCGGATGTGGTAGAGTACACCTGTCACCCAGTACTCAGGAAGCTGACGCAGGAGGATCAAAAAGTCAACACTAGCCTGAGTTATGTGAGCTTTACCTTAAAAAAAAAAAAAAAAAAGGTAGAGACCAGTGTGATGGCGCAGTGTTAGGTAAAGCTGCCCGTCTGTAGTCCGAGCACCCCAGAGCAAGATGGGAGGGGGATGGAGGTGAGACTGTCCCAGAGGCTCAGGGACCGACTGGCTTGGGAATACGCAACACTACAGAAACATCAAGAGATGCTGCCTTAAAAATAAAGGAGCTGGCAGCTGGGTGATGGTGGCGCACACCTTTAATCCCAGCACTTGGGAGGCAGAGGCAGGCGGATTTCTGAGTTCGAGGCCAGCCTGGTCTACTGGCAGGATGGCTCAATAGGCAAAGACACCTGTTGCCCAGCCTGACAACCTTATTTCCCAGATAATAGAACCCTCTCCCACCAGCTGTCCTCTGACGTCTACATGTGTGCCATAGTGTGCACACATACACACACACACAAAACGGAAGTACTCCTGAGATGTGGGGTTTCTGCTCC